AAAGTGCAGGGAACAATCCAAAGTAAGTGTAATTAACCAAGGAAAGTCAGCTGCAATGGGACAAGAATGGATCTGGCCAAGATATTTTAGCAGGCAAAACTCATGGGCTGCCTTTAAAGAAGAGACAGTTCAAGTACAGTCAAAATATTCCTATGAAGAGAAAGGCAGGACAAACAAATCCAAAGCCCCCGAATGAAGGAGGAGGTAAAGATTGAAATAAAGGAAGAAAATTGTGCCGAGAGCTGTCAGTCAGATCAGATTATTGAGAAGCAGGTCAAATGTAGAATTTTTAAAAGGGGAATTGAAGAAACAAAAAGAGACAGTATGAGAAGATAATGGTTGTCAACATAAAAAGGAATTCAAAAGTCTTCTACAGTGATGGAAATAGTAAAATGGCGTTCAGAGGATGTTGGTGTTCGATTAGTGACCAAAAAGGGGATTTATGAATGGAAGCAGAGGACATGGCTGAAGTATTAAACAAATATTTTGTATTGGTTTATACCAATGACGATGCTGCTGCTCAGATCTTGGTCAAAAAAGGTGGTTCTGAAGCTTGAAAGGTTTGAAATTGATTGAAATGGTGGCATTGGTTAGACTGTTTATTTGTTATCATGAAGATACTGCTAAAGGCACAGCATACTGCAAAGGCAATGGGCCCCTGACAACATTCCAGCAGTGACACTGAAGACTGTGCCCAGAACCTGCTACACCTTTAGCCAAGCATTTCTAGCACAGTTACAACACCGGCACCTACCTGACAATGTAGAAAATTACCCGGGTATGTCTGAATTCAAGAAGTAGGACAATTACCGTCCTTCATTCTAGTCTCAATCGTCAATGGTTTGCAGACGACACCAAAACTGGTGACACAGTAGACAGTCAGGAAGGTTTTCTAAGATTACAAAGGGATCTTGATCATATGGGTCAATCGACTGAAAAATGGCAGATGGAGTTCAATCTGGATAAATGCAAGGTAATGCATTTTAGTCCAACAAACAAGGGTAGGGCTTATACAATTAATGGTAGGGCCTTGGGTAGTGTTGTCGAACAGAGGGACCAAGGGGTGCAGGTACATAATTCTTTGAAGTTTGTGTCACATTTAGACAGGGTGGTTAAAAAGGCGTTTGGCATGCTTGCCTTCGTTGCTCAGTGCTTTGAGTATAGGAGTTGGGAAGCCATGTTGAGGTTGTACAGGATATGGGTGAGGCCTCGTTTGGAATACTGTGTCCAGTTATGGTCGCCCTGTTATAGGAAGTAGAGGGTTTAAAAGAGATTTACCAGGATGCTGCCAGGTCTGGAAGGTTCGAGTTACAAACAAAGGCCGGATAGGCTGGGACATTTTTCACTGGAGTGTAGGAGGTAGAGAGGTGATCTTGCAGAAGTTTCTAAAATAATGAGGGGTATAGATAGAGTTAATACTAGTTGTTTTTTTTCCTTAGAATGGGGGATTTTAAAACTGGGGAGCACATTTTTAAAGGAGAGAGGAGAGAGATTTAAAAAAGACAATAGAGGCAAACTTCTTACACAGAAGGTGGTTTGCATGTGGATTGAACTTCCTGAAGAAGTGATGGATGCGGATACGATTACAACGTTTAACAGACATTTGAATAATTACATGAATAGGAAAGGTTTGGAGGGATATGGGGCAGGAGCAGGAAGTTGGGACTAGTTTAGTTTGGGATTATGTTCGGCATGGATTGGTTGGACTGAAGGATCCGTTTCCGTGATGACTCTATGACTATGACTCCAAGATGGAAGGGGTCATCAACAGTGTTATCGAGTGGCACTTGTTTAGCAATAACCTGCTCACTGATGCTCATTTTAGGTTCTGCCAGGGCCACTCATCTCTTGACCACATTGCAGCCTTAGTTCAAACATGGACTGAAGAGGTCAGGTGACAATGACTGCCCTTGCCATCAATGCCACAAGTATACAGTTGAGAAGTCTCACAAAACTGCAGTCAATGGGAATCATGGGGCATATTCTCCGTTGGTTGGAGTCATGCCTGACACAAAAGAAGTTGGTTGTGGTCATTGGAGGTCAACATCTAAGTTCCAGGACATCTCTGCAAGAGTTCCTCAGAGCAGTATCTAAGTCGCAATCATCTTCAGCTGCTTCATTAATGATATTCCTTCCATCAGAAAGGTTAGATGTGAGGACATTTGCAAATAATTGCACAAAATTCAGCACCATTCACAACACCATAGATGCTCCGAAATCTGTATCCATATTCAGCAAGACCCAGACAACATTCAGGATTGAGTTGACTAGTGGCTAGTAACAGTAATACTAGATAAATGCCAGTAATGACCACACTCAGTATGAGAGAATCTAACTAGCTAGCTCCTCCTACATTCAATAACAGTACCAGCACTGAATCCCCCACTATCAATATTCTGGAAGTTGACTACAAACTGAACTGGACTAGCCACAGTATTTACATAAATATTGTGGTTGCAAGAGCTACTCAGACACTAGGATGTTTGCAATGAGTAATTCACCTCATGACTCTGCAAAGTCTATCCACTATGTGCAAGTCACAAGTCAGAATTATGATAGAATATTTCCTCTTGCTTGGACGAGTGAAGGGAATGAGTTATAGTTCCTCATCAAGACAGTGTGTTATTTGGAGGGGAACTTGCAGGATTTTTCAATCCAACACATGCCTTTAAACTTTCCCTTATAGATAGTAGAGCTTGGAAGGTGCTATTGAAGGAAAGTTGTTGCAACACTACACTTGCACCAAAGTATGAATGTATGTGAAACCACTTTCAACTGAAGTAAAAGTGGTTGTGCAATTGGCTTATAACAGAAAGATTAATACTTGTTTTCACTGACATAAAATATATTCTTATTCCACCAAAAGCATACAGCCTCTATATTTAATTCTAACTTGTATTTATGTCACTATATAAATATGGAACAATGGAATGGTCAAAATCCAACCAAACTAATCTGCAAAATTGGCAAAAAATCTATTGTCAACATTCAACAAGTTTGGACTGAAGTGCACTTACTTAATTACAGTCTATATTTTATGTTTTTTTTCCCTATATTCATTCATGGGATGAGGGTGCTGCTGGCTAGGGCAGCATTTATTGCCCATCCCTAATTGCCCAGAGGGTAGGTTAAGAGTCAACCACATTGCTGTGGGTCTGGAGTCACATATAGGCCAGACCAGGTAAGGATGGCAGTTTCCTTTCCTAAAGGTCATTAGTGAACCAGATGGGTTTTTCCAACAATTGACAACGTACTCACGACCATCTAGGTATTTTTTGAATTCATATTCCATCATTTGCTGTGGCGGGAGTCGAACCCCGGTTCCCAGAATGTAATGTGGGTCTCTGGATTAACAGTCCAACGATAGTACCACTAGGCCATTTCCTCCCCATATTTACAGGCAGTGTAAAGATTGTGCTAACATACAATTTAGTTATTAAAAATTAACAGGGAGTTTTATATAATATTACACTATACATACTACATTATTTATTTGACTGTATCAAGAATTTAGCTTTTAAGAACAACAGCAGCAAATTCACATAATACTTGACAAATCACCAACTACATTTTATCAGAATAATGTATTCAAAAAGCACCTTTAACATCATAAAATATTCAAGGCACTTGTCAGGAGCATTATACAGTAACATTTAACAGCAAACTGCTCATGGGGTAATTGCCCAAAAGGTTTGAGCAAAGATGTTGGTTTTAAGGACACACTTTGAGAGAAAAAAGTGAGGCAGTTCTGGGAGAAAATTCCAGGATTTAGAAAATAGTCACTGAAGGCATGACCATTAATGGTAGACAATTAAGATCAATGAAGCTCAAGAAGTCATAATTAGAGAAGCCATGAAATAACTTGCAAACACACTTGAGAATTTTAAAATAAATGTATCCCTTGACCAGTGACAGTCAGCAAGCAATGGAGTGGTAGGTAAACAGTGCTTGGTACATGCAGCGTCACGGAGAGTTGAGTTTTGGACGACCTCAAGTTTGAAAAGTCTAAAATATGGGATGCCAACCAGGAGTGGACAGGAAGAGTCAAGTCGAGAAGTAACAAAAAAGCACGAACAAGGGTTTCAGCATCGAATGAGCTGTAGAAAGGTGGAACTGAATGAATTCACATAGGTAGAAATGGGCAGTCTTAATGAAGGCATGTGATTGGAAGCTCATCTCAGCGTTGATTTTAGACCAAGGTTGCAAACTCCAACACAAGCTTAATAAACAGTGTATTACAATAGGTGAAGGAACAAATCTGGAAACAAATAAGTGATACCATCAGATTTTGGGACCCAGTCTTATTCCACTGTCTCTCTCCTACATCAATCCCATCAGGCACCAAAAGAACAGATTTCAGCTGAGAAGGCCTCACTGCCTTCAGTACCCATCACAAATACAGTTCCTTAGTAAACGTTCTCTCGCTCCAGAGCAACTGTTCAAGGCTAAATCAGACTGGTCGCAAACTTGTTGCTGCATTTTCCAAGAAAGTGCCTCTCTTTATTATTGTGTGTCCACCAGTACCTTAGCGCTAAATATTAATTATTGATGAGTTTCATTGTTCTTCACAGTAAATGGCAGTATACTCTTGTATGTCCTTTGTTTAAATAGTCAACAATGATTGCATCCAAAGGAGAGAAAGATGTTCCAGTACAAAAAAATGCAAGTTAATCAGATTATTTACCAGGACAGACTGATTGGAGAGGATTGTAAACCTGTACAAATGGCACTATGTAGATGGCTGTCGAGAATCAAAAGCTTTAGATGGCGATCAGCATTCAGTCCTGTAATGAGCTGACATCACGAGGTGCAAGCTAGTCTTATTGATTAATTATGTAATACATGACAGATAGTTTTTTTCTCGTTTTCCTTGCATTCAAAAACTTAATAAAGATCGAGTTTGTACTTTCTTTCTTAAAAAGTGTGATATTCACAAAGGAAATTTCCTTCCCCTTTCCCACTACACTTAAAGCCTAAAACAATTAAAATCTGCTGCTTACCACAGACAGAACCCCGGACTAATCTTCGTAAATGTGGCCTGTCAGGGAGGTAGCGATACTTGCATCCAAAAATACTTAGGTTTGAAGTATGGTCGCCAAAGAAACGAAGCTGCCGGTATGTCTCCCCACAACGGTAGCAAAAGTTGGTGTTGCACTGTGAGCAGTTCATGTGATCACAGCCTTCCGTCCTCTGGATGTGAATCTTTTAATGTAGTTGTTTATAAAGAAAACAAAAAATTACCAGCATTAGGTTTCAGTATTATTCATAATTTTAAAGAAATATCACAGAAAACTCTAGAAGGAGTTAAGCTTTGTGCCTACAGCTCTCAATCCACACAGCACATCAGTTCAGTCATTTATTAAACCCATTAGAAGTGATGAAGAGTTTTCTTACTCCCTCCCCATAACACTGAGCTTAGGGGCATATGCAGCTACATCTCCAAGAGGGATAATTTTGCTGTAAAAGTATTCCACTCAAGCATCCACCATCACGATGGTGGCAAGCAAGCTTACTGTGGGCTTGCAGCTTTAATTAAAAGTTAATAAGGGTGCTCTGTCATAGCTCAAGATCTGAACAATAGGGTACACTCTCCAGTTTGGCTGCTGTTGGTCTAACAGGTACAAATTGCACACATTCTCTGAAGTGTTTTCTTTGTCTCCTCAGGTTGGAAGAGGATAGAGTCTAAAAAAGTTTATGAAGTTAAATGAAATAGGGTAACAAGGTGGCAACTATATATAATATGGGAGATATTTTAGTAGGCAAGATAGCAAAGGAGAATACTTTTTGAATGAGAAGCTATTAAATAGTTGGTGTTCAGAGGGCTCTGGGTGTTCTTTGTACATGAAGACTGAAAGTTAACATACAGGTACAGCCGAGAAAAGGGAAGATATTTTTAATCAACCTATTCAGATACAATCCAGGACAGGTGGAACCATAGGCAAAGGCTGTTTTTTATTGCAAGATGGTTAAGGGTACAAGAGTAAGGAAACTTTTCTGCAACTGCAGTGTTTTGATGAGTCCACATCAGGCATATAGATTTTCATAAATAAATTCTTGGGTCTTAGTGTAATCAATAAGGCCTGTATTTATTACCAACTTAATTTCCCTTGATAGGGTAGCTGTGAGTTACTTTCTTGAACTGTTGCATCTACCTGGGGCGGCGCGGTGGCACAGCAGTTAGCACTGCTGCCTCGCAGCACCAGGGACTCGGGTTCAATTCCAGCTTCGGGCGACTGTCTGTGTGGAGTTTGCACATTCTCCCAGTGTCTGCGTGGGTTTCCTCTGGGTGCTCCGGTTTCCTCCCACAGTCCAAAGATGTGCAGGCTAAGTGGATTGGCCATGCTAAACTGCCCATCGTGTTCAGGGATGTGTAGATTAGGTGGGTTATAGGGGGATGGGTTTGGGTGGGTGCTCCTTGGGTCAGTGTGGACTTGTTGGGCCAAAGGGCCCGTTTCCACACTGTCGGGATTCTATGATCTATGATCTACCTGGTATTGATACAGCCACAGAGCTGCTAGGGAGGGAGTTCCTGGATTTTTGACAGTGATAGTGAAGAATCCACGATCGAGTTCCAACATAGTTTGGCCTATAACTTGGAGAAGGCCTTGCTGCAGTTGACGTTTCTACATGCCTGCATGGCATTCTATTTCTTCCAGGTGGTAGGGGTCATGGGTTTGGAAGGTGCTGTCAAAGAAGCCTTCATATGTCGCCACAGTACATCTTGAAGATGGTATAGACTGCAGCCACTGTGCATTAGTGGTACAGACAGTGAATACGTAAGATGGTGTTGATCAAATGAGCTGCTTGTTCATACAGTAGGAAACATTCTTCAGTATTTATTTGGTCTCCTTACCCAAGGAAGGATATACTTCCTTTATGCAATCAAAGCTCACTGGATGGAAAACATCTCCCATCTCAGGAGTTAACGTGGAGGTGGGGAGATTGAGGAACATGTGCCTACACTCTCTTGTGGTGATGGTGTAAAAGAAAGGGGAAACGATGTAGGGCTGAGGTGAGGAGAAATTTCTTCACTCAAAACTTCAAAGCTTCATAATCCTCTAAGTCCCAGAGGGCTAAGAATGCTCAGTTGATTAGGACATTCAAGGCTGAGATTGACATAAATTTGGGCTTTAAGGGAAGTGGTGTTAAGGCCAAAGATCATCTATAATCTTATTGAATGGAAAAGCAGGGACAAAAGGCCATACGGTCTCTTGGGTACAGAATTCCAAGGATGCTTAACCCTCTAAATGAAGATATTTCTCCTAACATTAATAGTAAATGGTCGAAATCTTATCTTGAGACTCTTACCTAGTTCAAAATTCTCCAAAGACAGGAAATAACTTCTCAGCAATTATCCCTACAAGCCTTCTCAGGGTCATGTCAATGAATACGAGCAAACAACACTTCAATGAGTTTACCTGCTATTCTTCTACACTCCAAAGAACATGCACCCATTCTACTTAATCCCTCCTTATAGAATACCTTCTTATCCCAGAAATAAATCTAGTTAACCATAACTGCATATCCTCTAAGGCAAGTTTCATATTAAGAAAGCTGTACGCAGTTTTCCAGATGTGGTCTCACTAAAGCCCCATGTAACTGCAAAAAGATTTCTTCATTTTTGCATTCCCAACCCCTTGCAGCAAAGGCCAGCAAACCAATTACCTTCCTAATTGCATGTTATACCTGAAAGTTAACTTTGTGATTCACACACATGGATTCCAAAATTCTTTCAAAAACCAACAGAATGGTACATCGGTCAATTTATTAGCAAACAGAAAAGTTGTGTGGGCAGAGAATGATTCTAATTTTAAAAAGGAACTGCGGATGCTGGAAATCTGAAACAGAAACAGAAATTTATAGAATCCCTGCAGTGTGGGAGCAGGCCATTCTGCCCATCAAGTCCACACTGACCCTTCGAAGAGCAACCCATCCAGACCCACCACCCCCATCATATCTCTGTAAACCTGCACTTCCCATGGCCAATCCACTTAACCTGCACATCTTTGTACTGTGGGAGGAAACCCATGCAGACACGGGGAGAATGTGCACAGACAGTCACCCGAGGCTGGAATTGAACCCAGGTCCCTGGCACTGTGAGGCAGCAGTGCTAACCACTGGGCCACTGTGCCGCCCCGGATATCTACATGGAGATTGCTGGAGAAATTGCTGAGGAAGCTCAGCAGAGAAATGATTTTTAGTTCTGAACAAGGATCACTGGATTCAAAATGTTAATTCTGCTTTCTCTCTACAGGTGCTACCAGATCTGCTGAGTTTCTCCATCAATTTCTGTTTTTGTTCCAGATTCGAGCTAATTCTTTTATAAACTACTGCAAAGGCTCACGGAAACTCAATTTACATTGAATATAATCTGCACCAAAAACTGATCTTTTAAGAGAATTGCAGGGGAAAACATAACATAACACAAAATCCAGGCTAGGATATCACTTCTTCACTGTACAAAATTGTGGGGCACAACTAGTGAGCTGTTAACAATTCAAAAAAAAAGCCCAACATTCTGCGCACAAATAATACAATACATTATTAATTAACCTAGTTTTAAACTCACCTTGCATTTTGGGCATTTCTGAGCATTTCTTTGTCCGTGTTCAATCTCACTAGCCCAGTGACGCAAGAGCTTATCTCCCTTTCTGTATTCTTTGCAGTTTAGTCCTTCATGCCAAGGCGCATGACACTTAAAGCACCAAACAAATTGGCACACAGGACACTGAATCTGTAAGATCAAGGCATAAAATATAGTAGAACAATCACATTGTCAGGAAGAGAGAGAGGGGAGACTTTTCAGAAGGCTTGAGAAAAGGAAAATCAGGCCTATAAGAAAAATCCTTAAAATGAACTTAAAATGTACTCTGTCTACAATTTTAAGCTACTAGTTTCCTTTAAACATGGCCCTGGTATTGTCTGCTTGAAGGGGCTTTACAGTAAAAAATAATCAGTAAAAACCCATGACACACATTACATTTAAAATTCAGAGTCAGAACAGATGGGATTAGGTGGTAATGTGGCTGGGATGGAAGTGTTTGACAGCAGGGACATGGATCAGCTTAGATATTAAACTAAAATTAACATATCGAGATAGAAAATAAAGAAAAGCAGTACACAGAGAGTGAATTGCACTATCAGAGTTAGAAATTGAAATAGAGGTCATGAAAACAATAATAGGCTTGTTGCATGGTTGAAAGAACAGGAAATATAAAGGATTCTGTGCATAGAATAGAGGTGAATTGTTTAATTTCTACACATCAGTTGGCTTTTGATATTGTACATCACAAAACCTCTATTAGTCCACAAGATAAGGAGGCATTGATTCGGAGAAAAGCTTCTGAAAGGAACAAAACCAGCTAATTAGTGACTAGATCTATACTGATATGGAAAAAGGTATTCTGAGAGTTTCTACTAAGGAAAAATACCGACAGCCCCAAAGACATGCAGAGTATTTTCCTCCAAAATAGAATTGTGTCCCAGGGCACCAGGATCTGGAGGATTGCTAAATAATTCTGTGAAGCACTTCTTCAAATTGACAATGGTTATAATAATTATAGCAGGAGCTCACTGGACAAAGAAGAAAGCGATTGTTACCTGTGCATAAAGAAAAGCAAACTAAATCTTTGACTGCATAAGCAGAAAGATAGCATACAAAGTCAGGAAGTGCTAAGTCGCCTGCTGAGGGTACTAATCTGGCCATCTATAATATTACAGAAATGACAGTCTTGTTCCGATATCAACAAAGAAATTAGGAAGCAACCAACCACATACCTTAGTTACAAGGAGAGGTTTACTCCAGGGAAGAGGGAATATTGTTTCAATATTAACATATCTTAAAGAACAGGTAGACTAAGCACGAGTAATATATTTTGGAGATTCCAAAGGGACGAAGTCAAAAGTTCAGAAAATAGATGGTACACAAGGGACAGTAAATAGTGCAGAAACCTTCGTCTGAAAAATGGACAGATTTAGTTGTTTGGTAGTGCCTGAGTACTGCTGAAATAAGACACATTTTGTTGAAGCGTTTCATCTTGCACTCATCAGGTATCGTCACTGAACTAATAAGCCAGAATCCCAGGCTAATGTTCTGGGCTTACAGATGAATGATCCACGCTAAATCAATTCTTAGTCAGAGCAGCAGTACCCGGCTATGGTCATAAGCAGGATGGGAAGGAAAAGAAAAGTACGTGGTAGGCTGTATATGTGTATAGTACTGAGTGTGCACATGTTACATGCTTTTCCTGAGCACAAACTACAATATAAATCATGTGCTCTACTGTACAAATATGATCACGTACAATCAAGATTGGGTTCAACCTCCAGACTCATACAGCATGAAATTAATGTAACCTATGCAAATCTGTTCATGCATCTTGTTGAGAGGTTTCTCATATACAGATGCAAAGTCAGCGCAGTGAACATCCTAGATCACTTCAGTCTTGCAAGTTTCACAACTTCGCAGCATAAGGTACGTAGGATGGAGGCAAATTGACAAATGGGTCCAGCTTAAGATACAAAAATACAAGTAAAGGTGAAGCCATTCAAAAAAAAAAGGCATGCACAGTCAGGTAAAACGAGGAGCCCAACACTTATTCAACATTAACTCAAATCAAGCGTCCAGGATACTTTTTTTTAGAAAAGGAAACCCTTCTGTCCATATTGTACGGAGGTCATGACTCTGGAAATTTTCTGCCACATCTTTCTTCATCTCGAACAAACTATCACCTGCCTGTGTGGCTCCCTTAATTCTCGAAAATTAGACCATTTTCTGGACAAGGTCAAAGCAGTGTAAGAAAATTATTTGCTCCCATGTAAGTGATGTAAACTTATTTTCTGATGGCGCTGCTTCATTTTGTGTGGTCTGTAACTTAAAATTCTTGATGTAGTTTATTTGGAGAGGATACATGACAATGAGGTCAGATCTGCCTTCTTGGGTAGATGCAGGTTCAAGGGCAGTATTTAGCAGGAGAGTACTCACTAGCGCTCTGGCCAATTTTAATGCCTCAGCTAATATCAAATTATCCGGTCATGAACTCTTATATCACCATTGGGAAGTGAGCTGCTGTATCTCCTGCATGACAACAGGACAAAAAATCTGTCCTGAAGAAGGGTCACTGGACCCAAAATGTTAACTCTGCTTTCTCTCCACTGATGCCACCAGACCTGCTGAGATTTTCCAGCAATTTCTGTTTTTGTTTCTGATTTCCAGCATCCATAGTTTTTTCGTTATTTTAGTACAAAAATGCACTGACAAACATATTGAGGTATCCTGATGCAGTCTAAGTAAGTAAGTAAATGTTCTTTCCTTCATATCTGGTAAATAGTTATAAGATTGTAAGAATGGGGCAGCAGGAAATGAATTAAGGATTATGAGCTAAGATTTTGCAATATATTGGCAGGGAAAGTTGTTCTGTTTTCCTGGTGGCTATCTTTAAGTTGGACAATTCAATCTAGATTCCTTGGATAGCACAGTAGGTAGGAATTCAGCACTGTAAATGGTTCTTGAGGTCCTTTAAATCCTTGGTCAGAGATTGTGACTGCTGAGAGAAAGAACTTACACAGAATAGGTGAAGTATTCTAGCAATGTGTGTTGAATTCTGCAAAGCAGTGTCTATGTAACAGGAAGTGTGCCATATTTGCAAACATAGACTATGGCCCACTAATATGCTGAAAGGCCATGAATCAGTTGTTCTCAAGAAGTTAGGTCGATATGACAAAAATTGATGGGAGATTACGAGATGCCGATCTCTGAATTGGAGATGACTGGGTCTGGACCTACCCCACCATCATCCAGCATTGCTGAGAATTGCTGGTACCAGGCACTTGGAAATCAGGTCACATCAACCACTTTTAAAGGCCTCCAAACTTGATCCAACACCACACAAAAAAATTGCTCCAAGAATCACAAGACAGGACTTGATGTGAATGAGACTCTTGGCCAAATGTTTGTTTCCTGTTTCCAAAGTCTCTTGTACTGAAAATCATTTTAAATTTTCAAATTAAGTATTGATTTAAAAACAAAAATTCCCTGTAATAAGTCAGTCTGACTCAATTCCTTTTAGGCTTTTGAACCTATATTAATGGACTTTAACGTTGCTTTTGTTGGCTGATGCAGATCCTAAAATTTACCAAATGGATTTCACCCGATGAGTGAAAATTGCTCTCTTGTTCTCAGTTTGCTCCACAATTTTGCAAGTAGACTACAGTATTATTTTTTGTTGGGAAGGCAAAATGCTCAAAAATGGAGACAGCTTCACAGGAGCCATTATTGTTCATTTGATTGATCCACCAAGAGTTATCCTAGCCTGAAGACACTGCTTGTATGTCAATCAGCTTTTCTAACTCTCCTCCTGACAACCTTGTAAAAACCACTAACCTTTTAAGCAAACAGCCAAATTGACACTTGACTTGATTCAAGCTCAGGTATTATACTTAAGAATCAGCCAAACTTACCAGCAATCTACAGTAGACTCTTCTATTCAATGACTAAACTATAACACCATAAGACCAAAAGATGTAGCAGAAGTAGGCCATCTGCTCCACCATTCAATTAGACCATGGATGTTCTGATTGTCCTCAGCTTTCTTGTTTTATTATCATAAACGTTGATTATTTACCTGAAAATACTGAAGAATCCAGCCTCAACAATTCTCCTTAGTGAGGAATTTCATAGGTTCACTACCCTGAGAAAAAATTCCTCCTGATCTCTGTCTTTACTGGGCGAGCCCTTACTGTGAGACCATGCCCTCTAGTCCAAGACTCTTCCACAGGAGGATACAACCACTCTGCATCTATCCTGCACAGGATCTCAAGAATCTCATGTTTCAATAAGGTCTCTTCTTGTTCTGCTAAACGCCAATGAGTATAGGCCCAACCTACTCAATCTCACCTCATGAGAAAATCTCTCTATACATGGAATAAACCGAGTAAACCTTCTTTGGACTGCCTGCAACGACAGAATCCTTAGATAAGGGATCCAAATGTTTCATATCATCCTAGGTATGGTCTGACCAGTGCCTTGAATAGTTTAGTATGACCTCTCTATTTATATACTCCATTTTCTTTGAACTAAAAGCCAATAGTCCGTTTGATTTCCCCATTACCTGCTGAACTTGCGTACTTGCTTTTTGCAATTCATGCACATGGATCTCAAATCCCATCTGCAACCTTCCTGCAGTTAAGTAATAATCAGCTCTTTTCTTCACCCTACCAAAGTGCATAACATCATATTAACCCACATTATATTCCCATCTGCTAAGTATTTGCCAACTTCTTTAATTTGTGTGTATTCCTCCACAGACCCTTTAAGTCATCTTTACCACGTCTTCCCATCTATTTTTGCATTGTCTATAAACTTCTGTCGTCCAGGTCATTAATACATATTGTAAATAATTGTGGCTCCAACACTATCTCTGCTGCACTTCCCTAGTTATAGGTTGCCATCCTGAAAGTGTCCCCTTCAACCCATCTGTCTTCTCCTAGTTAGCTATTTCTCTCTGCATGCTAATATATTACCCCAGCACCATGGACTCTTATCTTCCACGTAGTCTTTTTTGCAGTACCTTATTGAACATCTTCTGGGAATCCAAATATATTACATCTATTGGTTCCCTTTATCTAGCCTGCATGCTACCTCCACGAAGAACTGTTAAAAATTTGTTACACATGATTTCCCCTTTGTGAAGCAATGCTGACTCTCTTGATGTATTTCTAAGCACCTGCTATTGCACAGACTATAGCATTTTCCCTTTTCGAATAATCGAGTTACACTGGCAGTTTTCCAATTCTCTAGGACTTTTTCTGAATCTAACAATCCCTATTATCTCTGTCGTGACTTCTTCTAAAATCCTAGGATGTAATCTGTCAGGTTCAGGGAACCTATCAGCCTTTCGCCCTTTTACTTTATCTCCTGTGATATTTACTGTTTATCTCCACCATCCCCCTCTCCCCAACCATAGCATTTTTGGAATGCTATTGGCATCATCTACTGAGAAGACTGATGCAAAGCACTTATTTGACTCCTCTGTGATTTCTTGTCTCCCCTGCCTTGTTCTCTAAAGGGGCCTGTATTCACTTTGGTCTCTCTTTTCCTTTTCATTATTTTTCAAGAAGCTTTCATTGTCCACATTTATGTTACTTCCTAGTTTTCCCTCAGTGTATTTTCTCCCTATTTATTAATTTTTGGTCTTCTTTATTGTTTATAAAAACTTTCTCAATCCACTGGTACCTCCACTCTTTGCCACACAGTATGTTTCTTTCCTTCCAATTTGATACTATCCTTAAATTCCTCGGTTAACCACAGTTCATCTATCCTCTTTCTAGAACCCAAATTTATCACTGGAATAACTGCTGTGAATCATGACCTTAAATGTCTGCCATTGTTCCATAACTGTCTTTTCTGCTAAACTCCTTTCCCAGTGCATTCCAAGTAGGTATGCCCGCCCCCTAATGTAATTCCCCTTATTTAAGTTTAGCACAGTTATTCCTTATTCAAGTTTCTTACCCTCAAACTGAATGCTAAATTCTACCATGTTATGATTGTTATTGCATCAGTGATCTCTCACTTTGAAATTATTTATGAAACCTACCTCAGAACACATCACTCGATCAAAAGAAGCCTGCTCCCTGTTTGGCTCCACAACATATTGTACCAGGAACCTGTTCAGAATACATTCTATAAATTTATCCTGATGGCTACCTTTGATTTTCCCCAATCTACATTCAGATTAAAGTCACTCATGATCAGTGTACTGCTTTTTTGCAAACCCTCATTATTTCACAATTTATTCTGTGTCATACAGAACAGCTACTGTTATGGGGCCTATGTACTATTCCCATCAGTGTCTTCTTCCCCTTGATATTTCTTACCTCCAATCATTTGGAGTTAGAACAGAATTTGAGAGAAAGATGCTCACTTTGAACTTGTTCTCTGATTTTGTAAGTGTTGGAATGTTGCTCTTCCGTCTGAAAGTAGTGAAATGTTTGCATTGTGGACAAGGTTTGGTGCTTGAATCCACCCTGCTGAGCTCCAGAAAGTAGCTGTATTTGACAATGTCATCACGAGGCAGATTGGAGATGACAGTGCTTTCATCCAAGTATTTGCTGCATTCTGTAATGGGGCATTTTATCTCTGCTCTTCCCAGCTGCACCTGCATACAGATAAGACAACGGTTTGAATAAGTCATGTATATAGCTTTTTATAGATAATATATACATAACACACACACACATATCTCATACAGCTCAGTGCTGTAAAGTAACAAATTACTAAAAACTACAGTCCCATTGTACCAAATAATTTTGTGTTGATGGGAAATGGTTTTATCTTTTCCGATGAAAAGATGAGAGCCAACTTGAACAATAGTATGCAAAATAGGACTAGCAATCGTGTAACCACAATTAGCACAAACTTAACACTTGCTACAATGAACTGCCTGTGAATTCTTGAAAAGTATTAAAAACTTTAACACTGAAGTTTAATAATATTTTTTAAAAATGTATTTGCGCATGGGATATCAATGTCATTGGCTATGACAGCGTTTTTTGCCCAACCCTAATTTCCCTCCAGCATGGTGAGTGGTCCTGAGCTGAACTTGAATTGTCATAATCCATTTGATATAGCTTCATGCACAGTGCTGTTAAAAATGGAGTTTCAGGATGTGGACCCAGCAACAGCAAAGAAATAGCACAATCACATGGTCTGCTTCACTCTAGTTGGTGTCAAGATTCTTGAGTGTTGTTGGAGCTACACTCAACTAGGCAAGTGGGGAGTATTCCATCACACTCCCAACTTGTAGGTGATGGACAGGCTTTGGGAGTCAGGAGGCAAGTTACTCGCTGCAGGATTCCCCACCTCTGGTCTGCTCTTGCAGCTGCAGTACATATATGACTAATCCAGTTTAGTTTCTAGTCAATGGTAATCCCCGTAATGTTGATAGTGAGGGATTCAGCAATGATATTATCTTTGAATGTCAAGAGGGAATGGCTAGATGTTATCTTGTTGAAGATGCTGCCCGACAGTTGTGTGCATGAATGTTAGATGTCACTTTTCAGCCCAAACCTGAATGATGTCCAGATCTTGCTGCATACGGTCTATTTCACTATCTAAAGAATTGTGAATGGCGAATAGCATTTAGCATCATCTTTCTGAAGAAGGGTAATACCCGAAACATTGACCGATCCTTTCCTCCATGTGCTGCCTGGCCTGCTGTGTTCTTCCAGCCTCCAGTTTGTCTATCCCGAACCTCTGCTCTTATCATGGAAAAAATGTTCAAAAATTAAAATTTATAAATCGCATTTAAAAAATGATCAAATGTCGGTTTCAAATGAGATTCATACTAGAAATGTTAATTCTGTTTCTTTCTCTTAAGTGCTGCTGACCTGCTGAGTTTCTCCAGAACTTTCTGATTTTATTTCTAGCAACTCTACAATCCACAACACTTGGCTTTTGTTGAAAGTTGTCATTTCCTTCTCAGAGATCATCACACTGCTTTTTGAGACCATTTTCTGTTCAGTGATCAAGAGTTATACTGCTAACATTAAATCACACCCATCCTCAAAATAACAGATCAACCCACTCCTTTAAGTTTGCAGATGAACTCATCAAATTGTTTTCTAATGGCAACAAAATCTGACAGGAATGTCACTGCCCAGTTATGAATATTGCCTGGTGTCATACTTGGCACAAACGAAAATGGTTGTGGTTTCTGGAGATCAATCATCTCAGCCCCAGACATCTCTGCAGGAGTTCCTCAGAGTTCTGTCCTCGGCCCAACTTTCTTCAGCTGCTTCAGTGATCTTCCCTTAATTCGAGGTCAGAGGTGGGAATGTTTACTGATGGTTGCAAATGTTCAGCACCACATGTGATTCCTAAGAAAGTAGCCCTTGTCTAAATGCTGCTCATCTGGACAACATTCAAGCTTGAGCTGATGAGTGGCAAGTAACATTCTCACACTAAGTGCCAAGCAATGACTGCCTTCGATGAGAGAGAGAAAATCTAATCCTTGACGTTCAATGGCATGGCCATCACTGAAACCCTACTACTGGCACCTTGGGGATTACCAATTGACCAGAAACTGATATGCACCAGCAATATATCTATTGCAGCTACAAAAACAGGTCAGAAATCAGTTCAGGAAAGTATCTCACCGCCACCTTCTCAAAGGCAATTAAATATGGGTAATAACTGCCAGCCTGGCCAGTGACACCCACACAAACTGAAAAGAAGTAATTCATATCTGCATGCAGCAAGACCTGAACAACATTCAAACATGAGCTGAACAGCGGCATAACATAGACCAGCTGGGTAATGTGCATCTCTAACATAAACCAGGTCTAATCACCTCCCCTTGATGTTCAATGATATTACCATCACCAAAGTTCCCATCAACATCCTCATGGTCACTACTTACCAGAAACCTATTGAGACCAAGTACATAAACACTGTGGTTATGTGAGCAGATGAGCAAACATTCTGTGGTGAGAAAATTGGATTTTGCCTCCCCAAAGCCTTTTCACCGCCCACAAAGCATAACTTAGGATTGTGATGGAATACTTGTCTGGATGAGCATACTTCCAACAATGCTCAACACCATCCAGAACTTACTTGATTGGCATCCCAACCACAATCTTGAATATTCACTCCCTCCTCCACTGGGGCACCACAACTTCGGGAAGTACCGTTTACAGGATGCACAGCAACAAGATGCCATGGTTTCTTCAACATCGCCTTCCAAAAGCTGGAGTGCTAGCATCTAGAAGGTCAGTGACAGCAGGTACATGAGAACATCATTACCTGCAAGATCCCCTCCAAAATCATACACTATTGATTTGGAAATATTCCTTCATTGTCACTTGGTTAGAATTCTCAAACTCTCTTCCTAACAGCACTGTTTGACTACCTTCATTATACAAACTACAGTGGTTCTAGAAAGTATCATAACTTTAAGGTAAATAGGGATGGGCAGAAATGCTGATCAGCTTTGCCCACACACTACGACAAACAAAAGATCTCTTATTCATAGAAATTTATAAGTTAAAAAGTTTTTGTAAAGGCTAGAAGCCAAAAGTTAAACCAGAAAATATGGGAAATCCAGATTAGGTCAGTCAATAAATGAAAACGAAAGGTGGATTAACATTGTGTCTCGGAACTATTTTCTATTTTAAACTAAATCCATAGGCACAGAAACAGAGGAGGCGAAAAGTACTGCAAACAGTCACCCACAGAATGTGCACCCCCTACAGTGGACAAGTATTCTAAAACAATTCAAAATGATTGGTCAATTCCTGGAGGTCACATCGACTATAGGAGATGTTGACAAACAAGAAATTCCTGCGAAAAATAATATCAGGGTGAAGCAGCTACATTGTTTATTTTTTTCTTAAAATAACTTGGTTTGATAAGATCTTTTCTCCGGTCCAATTTTACACCATACTTTAATAAGGATTTTCACAGTGCTAGCTTAATTCTCAAAACTCCTCCAATACAAATAAAGCAAATTCTACTCTGACCAGCTTCGACTCGAGAAAATATAATTCTGAAAAAAAAGATGAAAACATTATGAGGAAAGAGAAAATTTTTGTATGGTTGGAAGGCAAAGTAATGAGAGGGGAAGAGTGTGAAAGTGAAAAAAAACCCAGTAAAATAGTTTGATTTCCAGCTAAGAAATTAATTGAAAATATAAACACAATAATCAAAACTCAATTAAACCCAAATTCTGTACTTCTGAAAAACAACTAGCACCTAGGTATGGAGTATTTTAACAAACTCATTCTATTTGTAACTCAGGAAAATGGGGAAATATCCAAAATGTTAAAACACTAAGTCTACCTGCTGATAAAGTGCAACAAATCTAAGCTTAAATGTGGCATGAAACAAAACATACAGGTGTACTGCATGTTTCATTCTAATTTTTGTAAGCTGCCAGTAGATATGCTGAGGTCAGCAAATAAGTCACAAAATAATTTTATAAAACCTTATAATCTCAAGTTGTTACATTTTACAGTTATGTTACTTGTTGCTGAATGTTTAATGACTTAACTATGGAATCAAACAAGTCAACAAACATCTGTAAACCTTGAAGCATTCAAATCTCTGCTGCCCTTGTCCTAATTCACATCATCTAACTCAGCCATCATCTGTACTCACTGATCTAGGTTGGTCGGTCAGTTTCCAGTTCAGCAATGTCGCAATTTTAAAACTAGCAATTTTTTTCCCCATATTCTCCGTGGCTTCATTCCTCCCTATCTGTAAGCCCTTCCACAGCCTTACAACCAGCTGAGATATGTGCACTCCTCTAATTTTGATATCTTACTGCATCCCTGAATTTAGTTTCTCCACCCCTGGTGGGCATGCCCTCAGCTGCTGAGGCTTTAACTTCTGGAAGATCAAGGGCATGTTCTCCTGACCTTTTTTTGAATCCTGGTAACAGTGCTCTATTAAATGCAGCCTTTCCTAAAAGTCTCTTTCCACCTAAGGTTTTGGTCATCTGCCATAACATGTCCATTTGTGGCTTGATGTCAACATTTACTTCATAGTACTCCACTGAGATGCCCTGGAGATTTTGTTACACTAAAACGGATATAAAAACACATTCTGCTGTTGTTGAGCAGGAGAGAGACAAGAGTTGGATGCAGTGTCAGTTAATAACAAATTGCATTTGTACAATTTGTCATGGCATGTCCTAATGGAACTAGGTCTCCAGCCTTAACAGAATCCAAAGCTTGGGTGAAGAGATGTGAATTGAAAAGCTTGGAAAGCAGATAAGTAGAGGGGTTTAGGAAGGAAGATCGAAGGAGCAGAGGTCAGGTTGGTGACTGTGCCAGTACTAAAACTGACATAGGAACGCTGGGATACTGAAGTCAGAAGATTAGAGAATACTGAAGAAATGCAAAGCTTGAGAAAGATTACAGAAGTCCAATGGGATGAGGGCATGGAAAATGACAAGGTTATTTTAACTAACTAAAAGAATGGATGAACATTTCAGTCAGCCTACGTCCATACTTGAGAGATGATCCACTCGTTAATTTTGTCAGCAGATTGTCCACTAATGTCAACCATAGAAAAGAATGGCTCAGTTTTTACATCATTCTTAGTCTTTTTTTTAATTCAACAAATACTTCAGGGCAATTTGTGAACTACTGACTGCCC